AGTTATATGTGACCACTTTTCGTAATGCGGTCAATCTTGGTTTTTTGAAATTGCACCCCCAATATGTTGCCGAAAGACGTAATCCTACGTTAAAATACTGAGAAATGCAGGGTAGTCTTGAGCTTAACAGAAATTCAGAAATCTTGTTGGCAGTGTTAATAACATCAGTTAAGACCTGATTATTGAAGAAGTTATGAATTGGTGCCGATAATTTAAGGGCAGTTCCATTAACTTCAGAAAATTCTTGAGAACTTCAGTGAAAATCATAATACTATATTAATTATTTCGCTTTGAATCCATAAAAATTGCGCGAGCTTAAAAAAGTTCGAGAAATTTCAGAAAAACTTCGAAAACTTGACAGAAGTGCAGAAATCTTCAGGAACATTTCGAGAAGTTCATAGAAGTCTATGAAACTTAAGGGAACTTCAGGAAATTTCATGAACATTAGATAAAGGTGGGAGCATTTCAAAGAAGTTTAGTAAGCACCAAATATAGGGGGAATTCAGTTCCATTACTTTCAGAATATTAGCGGGAAATTTTAAGATGTTCCCATATTTTCAGAGAACTTCAGAGATGTTATGAAAATTATTAAGGTCTTCGCAGAAGTTCAGAAGTTCACGGAAGCTTAAACAATTTGAGGACGATTAAATTCAGGCCAGTAAAACAAGTTTTATGAGAACTGAAAAAAAAAAAACTTTAGTGAACTTTCGTAAGCTTCAGAGATGAACAGAGAACCGCAGAGCATTTTCGTTAACATTAGAGCAATCACATACATTTTAAAAAAGTTCAGAGAAATTTGAAAATTATATGAGAAGTATTGTTAGCATCAGGAAAGTTTATCAAACAACAAAAGAACTTCAAGGCAGTTCAATTAACTTCAGGAAAATGTTGGGAACTTTCAAGTAGTTCTGAAGATCTCAGAATAGTCCATTCCATATTCAACGAAGATTTTTCATGAAAATTCACTTGGAGTTCTCCTCAGCATTGGCTTTGTATTCTCCCAAATCTCTCACGGAATTATTCTGGAAATTCACTTGGAAGACTTCTCTGAATTATCTAAACAAATATCACCAGAATATACTTAGAATACTTTTTGCAATTACATTGAAACATTCCTCAAAATTTCATTGTAACTATCCTCCAAATTCAAATTTCTTTGAATTTTCCTTGGAATTACTCAGTAAGAAACCCTTTGTAAAGATTCTCAGAATGTCCATTGAATTCATTTCAGATTTCCTTTTGAATCTCACTCTTTTCCTTGGAATTCTACTGACATCGAAAGTCTTCTAAGCGTTCATTTGTATTTCTCGTCACAAATTTATTATATTTCTCCTCATAATTTGTTTGGCAAACTGTCTTGGAATTCTTTCCCGAACTCAAATTTAATGGTAATACTTCTTTTAGCATCATTCAAAAATTTCCAAGGAATTATGCTTCGGATTCATTTTCTTCCACAAACTTCATGCAATTATCCTTGGAATTTTCCTCTGAATTTCACAGGAGTTCTGCTCCTCGGAAATTCCTATGAGTATTAATTAGAATTTAAATTTGAGTTCAATTCAGGATTTTCTTGAAATTCTACTCAAAACTATCTCAGGGTTTACATGAAATCTAAAATTCCTCAGAACTATTGTGTAATAAGCCATGGTCAGGGAAGTCGAGAAAATTTTCAACACGATTTTTTTTTCTAGGCTTCACCGGGAATCTAATCCGCTGCCTAAGGCTTGGTAATATCGTGCCTTTACTGACTACGCTATCTGAGGCTCTTCTTGTATCCATAATCAGGGTGTCGACTACCTGGGAAAACCTGGAAAATCTGGGAATTTCTTTTTGAACCTGGAAAATCGGGGATTGTCAGGGCATTTTATTCAAAGTCAGGGAAATATTTCTTTATAACAGAAACATATTAATAAGTATGGCTGACGTAGCTAGTTTCAAACAACTTAATTACTCGTTGTAGTTTGAGGATGGTTTTCAATTTCAAATGTTAAATAGAGTTGCGAAGTTGTGGTTGTTCAATGCTTGATGTTGCATTTTTGCAAGTGGAGCAAAAATTACTCAAATACTAGTTACTGTGTCTGTTCGATCCAGCTCAGCTGTGTTTAACAAAAATCAATCCCTTGAGCGCATTGGAGCGTTTTTGAGTAAATGGATGAATGATTAAGAGTTAAGTGACCCGTTGAAACCGGAAAAAGCTGGAATTTGAAGTCACCGGGAAAATCCCATGAATAACTAAATTGTCAACTAAGACAAATCTGGAAAAATATACCTCGTCCTCTCTTCGAAAACAATAAGATTTCAAGACCCTTGGACTGGTCTAGATTTTCAGGATAACTACAGTCACACTTTGAAGAACTATTAGGAGAATTTAAACAAAAATTCCAAAGCAAATTTGAGCAGATTTTAGAATGAATTCTAGAGATAACACCAAGGTATTTCAGCGAATATTTTATAGGTAGCTTTAGAAAAACCTCTAGGAGAGCTTTTACTTGATCTCCCAAGAGTGAAGAGGATTCCAGGATTTTTGAAAAATACCAATGAACGCGAATTTTGAGGAATTCCAAAATAATTATGCGAAGATCCATAAGGATAGTCCGAGTATGATAAAAAAAATCCATTCCGAGTATAATTCCAAGCGAATTTCGAAAGGAATTTTAAAAGAATGTCAATTAGAATTCCATGCAATTTTCCGAAGAATTTAGAGCACAACTTCGAGATAATTCTGAGCAAAATTTGAAGACAATTCTCGGCAGGAGTATTTCCCCTGCCAGATGGTGTTGGCAGGGAAGGGGTTTTACAACTTTTGCTCACAAAACCTAACTGGCCCTCTTCAATTGTTGGTCTGAGGTGAATTCTACGGAAAATTTCATACAAATTAAAAAAAAAAATGATGCTCCAGTAGTGTGAAAAAAATTTGGAGCATGGATGAATTTTAAGAATTTTTCGAGGTGTTCTACAGAGAATTTCTGTACTAGTATAAAAATAATTTCAAGGGATTTCCAGATAGAATTTCAAATTTATTTTAGAAGAATTCTGAACGGAAATTAATCTAAAGGGAAAGCTTGAGAAAATTTACATAGAAGCCTTAACGTTTTGAGCGACATTTTCATACACAAATTGTGAAGACTTCGGTGCTGTCTTAGAAATTATCCATTCAACTTTTGGCTTCATCGTTTTCAGTTTTGTGCTTAATTAAAATACTTAAACAGCGATAATTTCCAAAATTCCGAGAGAAAAATGGAAAAATTACTAATTGAGATTTGGTGGTCACCATGAAGATGATTTGGAGATTTGGATGAATTTAAGCCTCTAGGGTAGAATGCGGATCCTTTCCGCTTTTGGCAACACGAGATTTCTGTCATTTTTTTCATTCTATAAAATGTATGGAACGCTTTATTGCCAAAACCCGTTAGGCTTTGCACCTGGATTTTTTTTTTTGAAAGTTACTGGAAAATCAGGGAATTTTGTTTTCTTCGTTGAGTCGACACACTGATAATTTTACGCTCTTCTTCTTATTTCTTCTTTTTCACATTTCACGCATATTAGCTTATTGCGTGCTCTCAACTTAGTGTTCTAAATGCACTTCCACAGTTATTAATTGAGAGCTTTCGATGCCAATACCAATGCATGAATTTGTATATTGTGTGGCAAGCACAATGATACTCTTTGCCCAGGGAAGTCGAGAAAATTTCCAACCCGAAAAATTCCCTCGACCGGACCGGGAATGGAACCCGCTGGCTTGGGCTTGGTAATATCGTGCCTTTACTGACTAATTTTACGCTCACCACCTCTAATTCTCCTGGGGACTTACCTCTTGGAATTCGTCTCAGCATTTCCAAAGTAACTTACCAAAATTTCTTTAGAATTCACCTGGGAATGCTTCTCAAATTTCCTTAGAGATTCTCCCAAAGTTTCCCTAGGATTTTACTAGGAATGTTCTTGCTATTTCCCTCAAACTTCTCTTAACATTCTCTTGGAACTACCCTGATAATGAGTATTCCTTTGGAACCCTTTGCGGAATCTCTTGCAGTTCGGTTATGAATTCTCCAAAAAAATATTTTGCTACTACGCTCAGAACTCGGATGCCTTTGGAGCTCTCCTCAGAATGCCCCTTGGTTTGTTTTTCTTCTATAATGTGAAAGCTGATAGTAAAATTTCTAAAATGTTTATTTTAGTCTTGATGCTGATACACGAATAAGCAAAACATGAATTCCTTGCACCAATAAAAGCACCACTTGCACCACCCTAACCTGTAAACCAACACAACCCCACCCAACAACGGTATCAGAATTGTGCGTGCGAATTTGAAATTCGAAACCTTCTTGAGGTAAACTCTCCCATACACTGCTGCTGCTGCTCCACCTTGATTCTCTCTTTTCGGGCCCTTGTCAAAGTTTCTTATACTCACGCTGGTGCTCTGAGATCTGCGACCTGACTATTTGTTAGTCGCCTTCAACCGCGAGCAAGCTCGCTTCTCGCTCACGTGCTTGCAGCCCATTACCTCAGCTCAAGCTCACAGTGTTTTTTTTTTGCATCAACTCGCCGGCGGTGCAGCAGGAGGTAAAGAGCATAGCGGTGTTTTGTTTTCGACAACCAACTCAAACCCAAACATAACACATACAGCAGCAGAACAAAGGCCTTCATCGCCGCCACCACACGCCGTATATTAGCACTGGCTCCTGAGTCCTGACTCTATCGCGCCCGCTGTTCTTTTTTTTCGATACCGTAATGCACTGAAATCCGGACACTTTTTAAAGTTGATTACCAATGCCTACCTAATTTTAACATGACTTTATGTCACTGTTCAGAATCATCACACATGTTTATTATGTTGCAAAAATAGACGTAAACATTAATTAGTAACGGATCGTCCGGTATTCGAAGCATTATGGTACGCGATACCTACACCGACGCACCACACCACACCGATATCGAGCTTGTCGAGCTGAGTCTGAGCGAGCTGCGAGCTTCGATCGAACCGAGCTCAGTAGTCAGTTGATTTTAGTACACTGCCCCGTAAAGACATCCCGTCGTGTGTCGTGTGCGAACGTATCCGTGTTTTGAATCCGCATTTGCGCGATTCAATTTAGTGTGTAGCCACACACACCCACCTCCACCCCAAATACACCGTTGAATCGGTTTGACAAACCCGACGTTTCATTGTACCCGTGTGTCTCAGCCGCGGCCACACCTCCAGAAATAATACCGTCTGCCGAAGAGTGCATAATTTCTGCGATCGATTACCGTGGGTGAGTTTGAGTTATCGTCGTCAGCTGGTTCGTACAACCGAGTGTACATGTGTAGAAGTGGCAGGCGTGTATTGGTTTTTGATCAAGAACTTCAAAAGTGTATGTTGTACATATGTCTGTGCGTGTGTTTCGAGAACAAGCTGTTACACAAGATAATCTCCGAGTGTTGTCGCTTTTGCCACGCTCGATGGATTTTTGGCTCCATGTTGCTGTGGTGTATGATGAGAAAAAAAAAAATTAGGGCAAGGTGCAGGACTCGAGGAATTCGGGTTGCATTTGTATAGCCGGCTGTGTGAAACGACTAGAAAGCTGCTGTGCTGTGTAGGAAAAGTGAACCAAGATAAGGCGGTCAAGTGGAATTTGGTGTGAAGGAGTGTGTCGTGTATGATGGATCGATTTTGATTGCTACCCGCATAAACGCGAACCATAAATTGACCTTACCTAAAATGGTTAAAAATTGTTTATAATCCCTGCTAAACTTTAACTGAAATGGTTATGGAACTTTACATGAACGTTTAATGATAAAGTTCCAACCATATGCATTATGGTTTTTTGGAACTGGAACTTACAAATAATGGGTTGTTAAGAACCATTACCGTTCAAAATTCTTGTTTTCTCCATACATTTTCGGAAAGAGAACTATATTAGAACCTTTTAACTTATGGTTTGAGAACTTTAATGATAATGGTTATGGTAGTCAGTAAGGTCCACGAATGGTTTTGTAACATCGATCAACTTCATGTGGAATATATCGCGAATTGGTTGCCTGTAATTTACTGATTACCAATTCACGATATATTCCACGTAAAGTTGAGCGATAATACAAAACCATTAATGGACCTTACTGACTACCATAACCATTACCATTAATGTTCTCAAATCATAAGTAAAAACGTTCTTATATAGTTCTCTTTCTGAAAATGTATGGAGAAAACAAGAATTTGGAACGGTAATGGTTCTTAACAACCCATTATTTGTAAGGTCCAGTTCCAAAAAACCATAATACATAAGGTTGAAACTTTATCATTAAACGTTCATGTAAAGTTCCATAACCATTTCAGTTAAAGTTTAGCAGGGATTATAAACAATTTTTAACCATTTTAGGTAAGGTCAATTTATGGTTCGCATTTATGCGGGTAGTTATGCGGCTATTATTAAGTTTATAAGCTGTATAAAAGCTGTATGTTTGTGGTTTATAAAAAAATGGGAAATCGCGGGCTTATTAAGGTCTTTGCTTCACTTGACCGAATCTGTGAAGTGTGAACGTTTAAAAATCCTGCATCTGCATTAATCGGTTGCATGAATTAAGTAATTATTTTGTCGTTTGTGTGTAACTTTTTTCTTATGGCGAAATTTTCAGAGACTTCGTATTGATTAATGCAGATAGAATCATTTGAAGTGATTGACTAGAATAGAGTATAGAGTGTATCGCGGTAATAATTGCAAGATTACGACTCTCATTACCTGCAATATTTTTATATGAAAAAAGTAAGGTGATTGAGGCTGAAATTCTCAATAATAAAGCCAACAATAATAAGTAGGGTGGCCCTTATAGTTAGTGAGTTTTAAGCATTTTATTATTATTTGAAATAGATAGTAAAAGTGTCAAACAAAGTTTTACAGTACAATTTGTTTGTGATATTTTTGACGAAGAATACAATTTTCTAACGCTCATGGTTTATGTTTTATACTGGCTTTTAATAAGTAACTTTAGGGTGACCCCTAAAAATAGTTGTTTTGAGCATGAGCATGAGCATGATTGACCGCCCACGGTTGCTACTCTGTTATTGCCAGACCAGCTGTAATTACACAGAGAACCAATAGACGATGCTTGGGACTAGCAATCATCCTCAATGTGTAAAAACTGGTGATCTCGAATTAGGCAATACCAGCGCCAGCCGCGCCTAAACGCAGGTCAAGAAAGGAATGGCTAGGAATGTGTTGACGTGGCACTCGCTTTGATGGAAGCCGAGGAGTCCTCTGCACTTCCACGAGGAATCACAGGGATGTTGGGTAAGAGGGTTTGCAGCAGGGTTCGTTTTGGTAAACGATAAGCTGAATTGATGTCCTAACGATCGTATTACGCGAAGGAGCTTGGGATTGAAACCACGGTCTTCTGCTCAGTAAGCAAAAAAGTTTGCTGCTAGGCAAATGAGCTCCTCTTTAAAATCATCGAGTTGCTGTTATTACCATGTAGTCATATTAACAAATAAAACGATTGACAAATCTTGATGTGGATGGGCTTGATGATGTATTTTTTTAAAGGCAATTCAGTTGCCTACAATTTTGTCTCAGACGCAAGAGTCGGTTGCGTGCTATGATTTATTGAAAAATTCTGAAAAAAATAGTTGTGTGTCAAAATGCCCAAACTCCTGCACAAACTTTCTTCATAGCCCTTAACAAACAATTAAGCAAAGTTTCATGGAATTCTGACAGGCAAAATCAGAAATTTATTTAGATTTTCTGATATTTGGCCTAGAACTGCTAATCTATAATTAGGGGCTGTCCATAAACTACGTAGACAGTTTAGGGGGGAGGGGTTGACAATTATCCACGGCCCATACAAATTTAAAAAAATTTGTATGGATAATTGTCTACGCAGGGGGAAGGGGGGGTCAAGAATCCCAAAAAAACTGTCTACGTAGTTTATGAACAGGCCCTTATTTTCAGCATTTACCTCACTGAACTTTTGATTCTCTCCAGTTATCATTGGAATTTTCCTCCACAACAGTTTAGGAATTCTGTGCAGGAAACTATTAAAATTCATTCTCGAGTAAATCATATTAAATCGAGTTATCATGGATTTAACCTGAAATTGGTCCCAAAATGCCGTTGAGATAATCTCTTCAAACTCTCCAAAATTTCCTGGAAAAGTACTCAGAATATCTTCGAGAATATGCTCGAAATTCCCTGTGATTTGTCTTCTGTGGACCCTTCCAGAAATCCATTGATATTCCTTCAAAATTCGTTTTAGCAATTCCCTTGACAAGCTTGACATTATGTAAAAAATGTTTTGTGCTATATTCAGAAATAAATTCCCTTGGAATTATTATCGATAGTCCATTGGAGCTCTCCTGAGAATTCTCTATGATTGACATTTAAGCGATGTTTACCCTTAGCTGATCATGAGGGATAGTGTTAGCCATATCTGCATTAAATTTGTTGTAGGATTAATATATTTTGATTTTTACTCCGGATTCCCTAAGACTGCTTCCTGAGATTCCTTCAGATTTTCTTAAGATTTCCATCCTTATCCCTATAATATTGTCTTCAGAACTACCTAGGAACACCTTTTAGTTCCGCCTAAAATTTTCTTGAAATGATTCTGAAAATTACCTGGAATTTTTGTCAAATTCATTTGGAATCCTCCTTACAATTCCTTTCGAATTATCCTTTAAATTCCTCTACAATTCTCGTAAAATTATCATTAAATTCTTTAGACAATTCTTCAAAGTGTCAAAATCATAACATTTTGTTCAAGTTCAAGAAAAATGATTTTTGTTTTATACCTAAGAACCTGAAATTACATACTTGAGGTTTTGCATTTTTCGAAGTCTCAAATCTTCTAGGAGATCAAGGATGCGAAAAACTCACTGGTCTTCAAAACCTTGAAATTTTTCTCGTGTTATTTTTAAAAAATGTCTAAGTCTGAGATCTCAAATGTTTTTCCGTAGATCTAATTGTTTTCTATGTTTTATTTTAGGTTCAATGACATTCTTGGCACAGTAGCGTTCGGGCAAGTGTCGAATTTAATTTAATAATGTTGTAACATAGAAAGAATTAAAACTTCCAAGAATCTCAATTTCCAAATAATATTATGGACAATTTGTTCCGCGGGGAAAGGATAGGGGGAGGGCCTAAAACCTCTAAAAAATGGTCGACGTAGTTTGGGAACGCCCTTAAGTCTTGGAACAATGCGAGCAAGTAGATCATGCTGAAAACCAAAATGTAGGTCAGCTTCCAAATTCTGGAGCACCTGAAACGCCAGCTGATAAAAATTATTTACTGAAAACTGTTAATATCATGCTGCCGACCATTGCTAGAAGCTGGCGCATCAGATCTACTGAACCAGCACAAGTGTAAACTGAGCAAATGGTGTTTTTTTTAGTTGTGCCTATTTTTCTACTGTCAGCTCATTCCACCAGATTACAAATTCACGAGCGCCTGAAACTGACGTGCTCATAAAAATCAGTTGCAGACAACTATTTACATCATGCTGATGGCTCGCTCATCAGTGCTAGTGAACTTGGAATAATCTAAATCGAATATTAACGGTAGCAGCCTGGGGTTGAACACATCTTCGGCGATGTAACATAAACGGTCGTCACTAGGCCATCGAGCCCCCCCAAAAATTGTTAGATTTTTATTACCTTGTGTTTTACTAGGCCAGTGATGGTAGAGGGGAGTGGTAGTGGAATCGACTGGTGGTTCGGTCAGTCCTGGCTGCGGAACGGCGATGATAATAGTCCTGGCGGGTTTGCCTTTTGAGAGCTTCTAAGGAGATTCCCAGTTTGAGATTCAAATTGAGCTATGTTCGGAATTTAGAAAATTTCTGCCTGGGCTGAAAAAATGCATATCCTGGAACTCGAAAATCCCCGTCCAGGATGCAACCAGTAGGATCAATGGAATCCCTATCGTGGAGTTCCTTCCATAATGCTTTCCCAGGATTGAAATAGTACAATTCGTTCCTGGAATCGTTTTTAGATTACACTGACTCCAGACATCAGAATTGGAGGTGCAAGGTGCATTCCGTGACTATTGACCCATCAGCTGAATACACCTCGCTCTGGGAGTGACGTCATGGACACCCAGGCGATAGTGTTCCAGCTTCCGCTAATTCATTCTCACTCACACATGTATCGGAAAATTGCAATCGGGCGTGACACGTTGAAAATCTGTCACTCAAAGCTCCTCTACATAGCCAGCAGCAGCGGATGCAGCTCGAACAGATGTAGCGTAGGACCAGACGATGACCACGAGCGAGAGAATGCCACGAGAATCTCGTGTTCAAACACGGGATACCACCTGCTGTGTTGACATTACATTAAATGTTTATGTGTGCAGTTTTAGCTAAAAGGAAGAATTTATGCGCATGTCCTCTCTGCTGCTCTGATTTTAGGTTCTCTTGTTAGGGGAAGTGAGAGTAAAATGAACACTATGAGCAACATGTGAAAAGGGTCTATGTGCCAAATGTAAACAATGACTTTAAACGTCGATTTTTCGCGGATAAGAACTCAATCGGGCAAACCGACACCAGCTAGCATTTTTTGTAGAGGAAGTCTGCTGTATCTAAAATGAGCAATCAGCGTTTAAAGCCATTACAGAATTATAATGAAATGTTCAATGTTAGGAAAGTCTAGTGTTCATTTTACCCTCACTTCCCCTACATACAATTTATCTATACGAATTTCTCATTCGTGCTCAGTAAAAGCAACACATACACTTTTACATCAGTGCCAAACCTTTCCACTCCCGATCAGAAGGTTATTCCACTATACTGATTTTGTTCGTTTCCCATTCCAGGTCAGTTCCAGAGTTCGGTAGCAAGCAAGTAGGAAGCATCCTCAGCTCCGTGCCGTGTGCGTTCCGTGTGTGTCAAAAGTCAATCGCCTCGACCGCAGACCGACGACGTTCGACTGCCGCCCACTATCTATCTGGCTAGGATTTTTCGCCGCAAAATCGAAATTCGATTTTGGATGTTCAACCTTCCAGAGGAGGAACACTGCTGTTGAACCCGTTCGTTCGCTCGTTCGCGTTGGGTTCTGTGTTGTGGGAAGTGAAAATCGATTTCTCGTCGGTTCCGGAATTGCGCCTATAAACAAGTGTCTAGGGTGATTGTGATTGTGAAACTTCGAGTTTCTATGGAAAATTCTGTGTGCTGAAGAAGAAAGTCGGAAAAAATTTGTGGTTTACTGATGCGGGTGATTTAGGAAGTGCTGAAAAATTTTCCATTCGAGAGAGAAGATCAGTCAGTGTGAAAGAAGCTTACCTGAGTGGGATCTTCATCCCGAGAAGCGAAGAAAAAGGAGTTGAAAAATATTTCTGCAGTGTTTAGAGTAACTAGACGTCGCCGTCGTCGTTGAGCCTTTGTTGATGTGTCTGCATTGTTGGTGAATTGTGTCAGAGGAGTGTAGAGTGTAAGCCAGGCGGAGCAGAGCGTACCCACTGGTCGCCAAACCAAGCAGTCGACACCCCGACGAGTTTATCAGCAAGTAAGTGTTTGAATCACGTCCTCAAATGATACGGTAGTAACAACAAGTAAAGGCAAGCGATAAGATTGCACAGTGGTGACGAGGTTTGAAATTTGCACTGAGAACCGGTGATGGTTGTGGTTGAAGTTATCGCTTCGGACATCGAAGTGCTCTTTCGAGAATACTCACTACATCATATGGTGCAATTTGGATGGTTTGACATGAGTTAACGTGTGTAGTGTATGCTGACATCAGACGTAGACTGGAGACGCCTACGTGTCGTGGGGCTGGGAATTGCTTTCCTGTTTGTGCTCGGTAGATATACCACGTCAAGGATTTTCAGTCATGTGCTTTGCAACATCAGTCAGACACTGGGCGTTTGATTCATTTTTCATTGCTTGATGATTTTGCGTTCAAGTTGGTAATAATCAAACAATGCAAGTATGCGTAAAATTGCGTCGTTTAAGTGCTACGCATTTTTCGATTTTACAAACTCAATTATGTTTCGAACGCCTCAAACATCAGTCTCGCAATTAACAGTCCAATTTTGGGCCTATTACTTCAGTACACAGCCGTTCCCGAATGATGAAGCTGCAGCAGTCATTAATCATTCGCTGCCGCGCTTGTGTCGTGTTATTTATTGTTCCGTTCCGGACTAGACAACCCGCTGGCTGCTGTAATGGTCGAACCGAGAAGCAGTTCCTCTTTCCGGCCGAACCCGGAGGAAACCCATTTATCCCCTAGGCCAAGCGAAGAAACTATCATTTTCTAGTTAGCAGTACAGGAATTCCCCGAATAGCGCGGTGGCTGGTGCCCTCAACCCAGCGCAATTTCTCAGCTGCCCTCCTTCTAAATGAGCTGAGCTTGTTGCATACAGAAAATCAACTCAATTCGTCAGAAGACAGCCTAGAAATTGCGATCCACCGCGCTATTCCGGGAATTCCTGTAGTTTAGGTTGATGATTTAGCATGTTTTTCCGTCCGTCCAAAGCTTCGCCACTTTTGCTGGAAACAAGAGCGAAACTTGGAAGCGAAATGCGTCTTTTATCAATCCCGCTGGGAAGATGGAATTGCTTTGTGTTTCCGACAGACACTTGAATCTTTGGCGAACTTGAAAATTGGAATCGTTTTGCTATTTAGATGTTCACTACATTCGTTGTCTGTTGTTGCAAATGGGGTAATTCGTCAAACGTCGAATTCATAAGGACCAACAATGACCCTCAGGGTACCCTCAAGATTACGAATTAAATCCTGAATTTATCCACACTGACCTGGCACTTCTTACTAAATCAAATTTGGTTCCACTTCCCAGGTGGTACCCAGATCCGGATCCTGGGTTCTTAATGTGAGTAATGTGAATAGCAATGAGCATGTTTTAAGGGTTCTCATGGATTTTTTTTGTGTCGCATGATGTGTGTTGACTCTACACTCAAAATATTTTCAAATCTAAATAGATTAAAAGTTACGCTAAATCGCAACTCTTCTGACCGACGCATAGCTTGATATAAAGATAGAGTATACACACTTAGTATAACATGGATCATACATCCAATAGTTTAAACTGAAAGTATGCAAATAATGCATAGTGTGGTATTTAGCACATGCATTAGTGCTGTACCATTCATTTTTTTTCATTATTAATTTCTAATAAAAAAATTACAGTATGGACGTAGGACTACGTCTGTTATTTCTATATGGGGGTACACTTTGTGAAAACCAAAAATGGAACATGTAACGAAATTATGAAAGATTTTGAACGTTAATAACTCATCTGCCCCTGGACCAATTTCAACAATTTTACCACCAATCGATCGGATATTTCTGCATCGTAGTCCTACGTCACCATTGCACACAAACCCATAGGGCTGTCCCTTGTAGTTTTTTTTTTTATACTGATACATTGATCATACAATTTATAATGAAATAATTTAATAACTCTAAATCCGCTGAGTCCAGAGCGTTACATATACATCGAGGTAGAGCCTTGTAATTTTTCCTGCGTTGGTGTTCATTTGTAAGAAAAGTTGATTTGGATTGTCAACATGACTCACAAATGCCTATCATTTTTGGTATTTTTGTTCCTGTTCTTCTGCCGCCCACGACCACCCCATGAGGCAATTTCCGTATTGATAATCACCGCCGTCTTCCCGTTCACAATCTCTTCGGGATCCAAGTCTTTCGCGATTCATATGCCTTTCCAGTACTTTTAGTTTCATCTTGGACTATCTGGCGAGCTGGACGATTTCCAAATTCTGCTTATCTTCATCCCCTTCGTTCAGGCAAGCCATCTTGCGGGCAAAGGCACTGTGATCGATGAATTCTGATTCCAGTATTTGATCTCCTTCCAATTGCCTTAGTCGATCAATACCACTTCAATGTTATCCATTTCTTGTGATCTCTTCGCTACTCTTTTCGTAGTAATCGAACATGTCATCCAGAAGCATATGGCAGCCCATATACCAGTAACCACCGGCACGTCAAGAACGATGAAGACCAGCAGGGTCAGCATCAATCTGAAAGAAACAGCACGATAGTCACTAAGTAGATACATATTATGACGACATAAAGTTAGGCTTGAACAAACCTGTGGACGTTTGGAACATCTTCGATTTTACCAGAGCAGTTCTGATACAATCACTTGGACAGTTCAAGTATCCACAGGTAAAACTAGTCACGGTTGCTCGGTTACCCAGCGATTCGTTGTACTTGAGAATATTCTGGACGCGTCTGTCTCCAGATTGTGGATTGAGGCGTTGACGGTAATTGCTTTACCTTAATTATTAACTCGAGTGTTGAGGTTAGACCGTCGTGAGACAGGTTAGTTTTACCCTCCTGGTGTGCGATATTGTTGCGCTATCTTAAAAGAATTGCTGTGGAGTACGAGAGGAACCACAGCTACAACTGCCAGGTAAAGTAGGTGCATAAGAACGCCTATTTAGGGTTGTTGGACTCTGCCCTTACCGGCGATTTGCGACCTCTGTGCACCTAAACTCCGATTCTTACCTCCACGCGGTGTCCGGTGGGGTTTCTGGCGGTGATATTTGCCATCAGTAATGCGAACAAGAACGGGGGATCATCGTTGTCACTAATACACTATTGTTTATAAGTCGCTAGTGTCAGTGATGACGATGACAGAGCAAAAAGGTTATAGCCAACTCTAAGTAGCCCGTGGTTATCGCTATCTGGTGCTGGTTACGATTTGGCCGTCCTGAATGAACTATATCCATCTCTTCAAGGTGGTTTGTTTAAAAGGACGTTAATAAATGGAAGCACAGCTACGACTCCAGCTCTGGTGTGGCAAAAGCTGCATTCAGGGAGATTGCTGCCTCATGCGAGGGAAGGCCCATGCTATTTACGGATGGTTCTTTGATCGACGAGGAAGTTGGTTATGGGGTGTCTGGGGAGGCCATAAGCCGCTGCGGCTGGTTATCCGGTCTCAGTGGTATCTTCTCAGCTGAGGCCTATGCTCTCCTGCAAGCGTGTAGGCTATCAAACGGGTCTCAGGCCATTGTATTCTCTGACTTAGCGAGTTGTCTTTCTGCCCTTGAGCATGGGCAGGTTGGACACCCATGATCGATGGAGGTGCAGCGGTACGCTAACATAACCTTTGTATGGGTACCTGGACACGCAGGTATACCAGGGAACGAGGCTGCTGATAGACTAGCTAACCAGCGTCGTCTTGCTTAGCCGGAGTTCACTTCGGTGCCCTATAGTGACGCTACCCGCTGGGTGAAGCAGACCTCGCGATTCGCATGGAATGTATCTTGGCATAACAACCGTGATGCATTCCTGCGTAGAATCAAGAACACTACACAAGTGTGGAAAGATGTACCCAATTCTCGAGATCAGAACGACCCCGTTTTAGCGGCGGTGTGGCCTACTGCCAGGGTTGCGGAGCGGTGTTAGATGTAAATCATATATTAGTGGAGTGTCCAGCTCGGGCAGAATTGAGGAAAGAAATGGGTGTCGTTGGTTAAATTCGTAAGGAATTGTAAAACAACAGAAGTACAGAACAGACTGTACTCAATTTCAACCGCCCCCATGACTTATACGACTTGATATAAGCTTATGTAGGTTGAAGTGGCATTAGAAAGAAAATGACTTGTTTAGTACTTGTACTTATTTTTGACAAAAGGGTAGTCTTTAAGGTCCTAAGACCATGGTGTGTGAGGGTAAGCGACATTGTGGAGCTATTTTAAGCTCGGAAAGGTGATCCCTTCGAATGAACTAAATTCTCCTCTGCCAGGGGAACAGTTTAAAGAGACGTTAATAAATTTAAGCACAGCTACGAACCAATGGCTCAATACTAGTTCGATCGGACTTTGGTATAACGCTACGTTCGTTGGATTATGCCTGAACGCCTCTAAGGCCGTAACCAAACGGAGCTGATAGTGTCCCCCATAGGTGGTCGGCGATCATGTGGCAAAAAACCTACAAGACTTGCTAGCGTGATCTCACGTTGGCATTTTATTGCATGCACGCAGACAAAGCCCTTGCGCATGGCGTCGTACAGCAAGTATCTGGTGGAGCGCTGGTGGCGCTGCTCAGCATCAATATATGATTTCGATACCTGATCTGATTTCGATACTCTCGTATTGGTTTCCGTTTTACAGTAGAACCTGCAAATTAAAACAGAACATCAATCAAGATTCATCAAAAATCCACCAATTCCCCATCTCACCTGTTTGCACAGCGTCGTTTGAATCCACGGAAACCGCAAATCCGAAGTTGCGTGCGGAAGCGAATTGCAAAACAAACTGTATTGGAAGATTTGTGCCCGCACTTGGTTGAGATTCCGTCTGGAACTGCCGATCCGAAAGAGCGTTTTTTCGAATCAACCTCAGAACACGATTCATTTGGAATTTTTCTCGGAACCTGCTTGAAGTTCTCTTCTGCACCTCTCTCAGTAATCCTTTGAATGTATCCTCAAGCCGAGAAGCGTAGATGCATTGGTGAAGGATAAGAGAAAGGAGAGTCAAAGGTGTTGACATGTAGAATTAGAAGTCATCGAGATTGAGTGCG